AGTTGTCTTGCTTGAAACATATGGCTGTTTTTTCTCATCTTTTTGTTTCCAAAAACCTGAGTTTCAAAGGATTTATCATCATTTTTTAACCATTTTTGGCCCAACATGTGAGGCTACCAGAAACAAAGACCAGGCTACCAGAATCAAAGAACAGAGGTTTATAACCAGTTATCAATGAGTTATGAACCACTTTTGGAACCAGTTAGTAACCCCTCAAGTGGTTACGTAAGTGTTATGATAACCTCCATAAGGTCAAAGGTCTACTGGAGATTATAAACCCCGCGGTTCTTACAAGTATCGGGGCTATCCGGAGAGCGTCACGAACATGTTCAGCGTAGAAGGCGTGGCGGACATCAATCCTTTGACTTCTTGACTGTCGGCTGGCTTTCCGCGCCATCCGAGAGTCGCCCTGCGGCCTTTGCGTCCTCTGCTTATGGCTCGTTCGGAGGCGTCGCCGGATGCTTATCTGAAGGAGAGTACGCACAGCGTTCGGCAGATACTGCTGGATTGGGAGTGGGACCTGGTGTGGAGATGTCACCTTTCGGAGAATACGCTCTCAGACCAGGAGTGCTCGGCGGGACTTCTTCTCTGGAATCTGTGCCCGACCCGTGACAGGGAGGCGCGGAGGAGTTCGTGAGGGTTGACTCTTCAGATCACGGTCGTGAAATGTATAGAGGGCGGCATCGATCAGGAAACCGTCAGAGTAGGGATCATGTCTAATCGGGGAACCATGCCACGACGACTGTGGAGATGAGTTCTGCCTGATCGAAGGTGCAACGGCAGCTGGCGGTTGATTTTGCGAACCTGATGATTGACGCGCTGATCTGTGCGAGCCTGACGCTCCTGCAGCAGGCGGCGAAGCGCCGAAACCGCTATCAACAGGTATCCTAAGAGGCCTTTGCCCTCACGAACGACGCGAGGATTTCTGGGAACCTGAGTCGGAAGCTGCGGATGGCGAAATGCCAGCACCGCGTGACAAAGGTATGTTAAGCTCAGCTCAGCAAGCGCGAAGACCAATTCCGCACCATTGAGGCTATCTGATGTTGGGGATGTAGGCGGAGGCAGGTTCTAATGCCTGAGTAGCGTAACTTCACTTTGCAAAGCACGAATCTGGGCCATGAATTCATTCTCCTTTTGCTGGAATGAAAGCTCAAGTTGTTGGACCTCTAATCTCAACTCTGCCCTAGCTTGCTCAACTGCGGCTGCTGCTGCGGCTCTAGCTATGGCTTGGGCTTCGTGCACTGCGTGTTGCGCTTGATTGACCAGGTGACCACATGTGCACCAAACTCCCTGGCCTCATCCCTAACCTGATTCTGTGTCTCCTGAACTGCTGCTTGCGCCTGACCTATCACAGCGGACTCAAACTCGAGCCTAGCCTGTGACTTCACTTCCCTAGGATCAAGCCCTACACTAATGTTCTGTTAGCACACTCTAACCCCTGAACCCTCACGAAACCCGGAACGTGGGATGGAGTTCTGTTGCGTGGTGACCGATTTGTAAATCGCACCAACGAACCCGTTCCAGGGCCTTCGTCTGAGGTTAGGTATTGCTTCAGGTGAGCTCTTTGGCAAACAAGTGAGGTTGGTGGGGATGAGCTATGACTGCTTAGTCGGGACTCGCGAGAGGAGGCTCTAGCAGGGAATGCCCTAACCCCACTACTTGGAACCCCACTGCTTGACGTTGTAATCTGGAGTGAACTCTGTCCTGATGACATGTTTGTGGCGGAACACTAGCTCTCAAACCCTAGGTACTTAAGGGCTACAGATTTATCACTGGCAGGATGCCCAAACACTGGACGCACGCACAAATGTTTTTCAAGGCCGTGGACTCAATCCCACGAAGAGATGATCGGCAGAAGTGTATCCGCGACTCCTTTGCGGCTTGCCGGATGAACACAGACTCCGCGCCAACTGCTGCGATTCCAGGACTCGAACTTTATCGTCGCAGCGCGGCGAACACGAGGTTTGTCAGCGAGTGCTCTTCTAAGACCGACTGCAAAGGACTCAGGCGCTGTAATACACTTGATCACCGACAGCGGGCGGCTCTGAGGCTAAGGAGGTCTGGGACGTGCTTTCTGCCTCAAAGTAACCTGCAGCGAAGTCGGCACTGGATCTGCACGGCTCGGAGCTTGCGATGGACCTTGCGTTGTGGCTCTTACAGGTGCTACAGGGGGGCTCGGGAGGTAACGGCCTACCGCTGCTTAGCCTACCTGAAAACCCTAACGAAGTCTGGTCACGAACTGGACTGCGTGATCGCTGGCGCTCCAATGAGCTGCGCTCCAATGAGCCAGTGGCAGATGACGATGCGGCTGCAGGATCTCCAATCAAGATAGGCTCGTCGTCTGAGACCTCTACTGCTTCTAACTCCTCTACACTCAGCGGAGCACCCAACACAGAATCCTCGGAGTCAGAGTCACTCCCTGCAGATGTAGCCTCACGCGGGAGGAGCTCGGCGCCCGGATATACAAAGCCTGGCTGCTGGACTTGGGTAAGTCTTGCTGTCACAGCGAAGTACTTTCCAGAAAGGCAGGGCACGCGGCCGGGAGGCTTGTTGAAGATGGCGTGCGAAAGATTATCAGGCGATTGCCGCCACAAGTCAAGCAATTTCAAGTGTAAACTCCTGCGTTTCAAATTTGCCGATCTGCCGCCTCTGTTGGCACGTGAGTCTGCTGCAAAAGCGGACGCGAAGCCGAAAAGGGTAGATTGTTGTTCTGGACTTAACATACAGCGTCGATTCCAACAATACGGCAGGGAGCAACAGAAGGGAAGCGATGGCAAGACGCGTCGCTGTGAAACAAAGGCAGGACTAAGCCATACCTATGTCCTCTACTCCCTTGATGCCGACCTTTTGGCCTTTTTCCCGTTTTTGCCGACCTGTTGGCCTTCGAGACTCGCCGACCTATTGGCGTTAAAAAGCTAATATGCCGACGTATTGGCCTTTGGGTGCTAAGTGCCTTAGCTGGATGCGTGCGAAGTGCCTGAGCTAGAATCCAAGAATGCCACACAATGCAATGCGTATGTTGAATGGGCTGGCAACCTATGAAAGTGCAACCTGCGCAAGACAGGTGCTTGAGTCCAGAATCCCGACGGAGGTGAGATCAACTGAACTTCCGAAATCGAACCAGAAGCTTAGCTGGATCTTCCAACCACGACAACGCCTAGCTACCCTTGAGTCGTGAACGGACTTTTGGGTAAGGTGGGTTGGATGTTGATTAGTTCCCGTTGGCAAGTGCCGAACCGGGTAAACTTTGCAATTGGACAATAATGCACAAGTACTGGATTGCGGAAGGTTTGGTTCAGGGAGCTGGTGGAGCCTTGAACACACAGAACGCAGGCAGCAAGTGAAGCAACGCAGTCTCCCCGACGCGAGTTGCGGAGAAGCCAGTGCCAGCCTCACGGGTGGTATCTAGGCAGTTGGAGGTATAAGGGTACAAAGACGCGGTCGTCGATGTAGCTTAAGTGAGTTACCCTGTGTATCCGGCGGAGTAGAACGGTAAAGGCGACGCTTCTCCGAAACGCAGAACGAACCCTACGCGTTAACCGACCCCACCTGACCTTTAACCTTACCTGGCGGCGCCTGCGCTCAAGGTAACACGGAAACCAATGCCGAAGTACAGTACCCAAATCCTGACGTCGTAGAATCGCGAATCCACTGACAGACAGTTGGCATACACTAAATGACTAGGTTGCAATGCACCTTTCTGTTGGCTGGTTGCCGAAGCAGAGAGATTCACAAATATGGAATGCAGGATTAAATGCAAGAAGTTACTCAACCCAGGGGCGTACAAGTGACGGTGCAAGTATGAAAAGGAATATGGAAACGTTATGGCGTCGGTAGGCTCTACGCTACCTACACCAAGCTAGGCTGAGGCTGTTCACCAGTTATTTTGAGGAATATTAAGTGTCGTGACAAGTCACAGTAAGACACGCAACTCTTTTGTGTATTGAGCCAGATTCGGGGTATACGTGTTCCCGTGAGACCGTTCAGCTTTGTTCTACACATGTTACACTAGATGCAGTCCTGGGAGCATCAGTTTCTTCAACAAACAATGTCAATCCAAAGTGATGCAGATTCAACGATTTTTGACTCAAGGCCCTTGCAACGCTCTTCCAAAAGGGTTTCTCTGATGCAAGAGTTTGGCGAATCCTTTCCGAGCGTGTCGTCCGCCTTTTGCCGGCTTGGATGCTTCGGAATTGCCGCTGCTCTTCGACAGGTAGACGTTGGCCTCCTTTGAAAAAAGCTTGCGGCTTACGGTATCTGGTGAATTCACTTCAGCCTAAACCATCATTTTCCTCGCGCAGCCGCCCTAACCCATGTTTGAAGGGTCATGCTGCATTCCATTCAAGAACACCACTTCCAGGTTACGTTCGCCTGGAAGTGTTGTTCTTGAATGTAATGTAGCATGATCCGAGCCATAAAAACAAACCATTGGTCGACTGCAAAGCCCTGCTCCCAACACACGAGTGCGATTGCATGAGCTGACAGAACTCTTTCCAAGTCTTCAAATGGCCAATAGTCACGGGAGCGTAAGTTTTGCGAGTCAGGTTGTGCGTGCTTGGTGTCATCTACGGAAATTATGCGCTGCATGTCTACATTTGGGTTCGTAACTCCATTCAATTTCAGGTTTGTAGTAGTTTTTGGAATATCTGGGGGGGGTGGTCTAAGGGCTGATTAATTCCAAGAGAGGTGGGTAGAAAGGAATCAAATCATAACAAGAACGGCAAATAGTTTTGGAATGCGGAAGGTAAACGAGCCTGATTACAAACATCGCGTTGTCCGGAATAGCACTAGAGTCTGCTGTCATTTTTTTGAAAGAAGCCTCGGTCTGTTATAGTTGCCCGCCTGACAGCAGGAGGACAGAAGGAAGAGCATGCCAGCAACTGGATTTAATCCTGCAATCATTGTCGATTTTTGCAGTTTTCCAGCTTTCTCACGCAGGGAAGCTTGCAACCTCTTTAACCTAACCATGGACTGTCAAGTGCTGCCCAAGCGCCCCATGCCTGTGGGCCCTGCCGCTGGTGCAAAACAACGGCCAGAGTCCTCAGAAAGTTGGAACCATGCCGTGCCATGGGTGGAATGCTTGGGTGCCTGCGCGGGCGGTCGACCTACACAGGCACAAAATAGGGAACAAACAAGCCCTCAGTTGAAACTGCACCCTTTTGAAATCCTTACTTAGGTAGATAAACTCTCCCTTCATATGACGTCTGAAACCTTCCGAAGATATGACGTGGCTTCCTGGCACATTGCTCTCAACAGTGAGCCGAGTACAAGTCTCACAAGACCGACCGGTCACCACTTTAGAATCCTAGACCGCTCCCTGACTGTGAAAAACAGAACATTGCATATTGCGCTAAGATAGGAGACGCCCGGCGCTCAAATGGTCCGCATTCGCTCACACTCTCTTGCAAGTGGATCCATCCAGTCTAAACTAAATGCCTTGAGGGTTTAATTCCATGTTTCGTCTCCGCCCAAGTCTATGAGAAGTTAAGACTGAAGGCTGCTCCAGTTCAGCCATGCAGCTAAAGTCCAGTTGCATTTCGGCCCCATGAGTGAGCAGCTGCAGATTGTCAGCGCCTTATTTGGGCTAAGAAATCAAGAAAGGCCGCTTGACTACCATGCGACTTGCCAGCAACCGGCCGAGAAAGCTAAGTACCTCCATGCTGCAGGACCCTGAGCCTAGGAAAGTTTAAACTGCTACAGACTTGCCTCTCCTCAATCTGCCATTGTGCAGCCTGTTGCAGTCGAAACCTGTTTTTCCGAAGTGCAAAGCTGGCCAGAAGCGCTATTGGGCTCAACCATACTGGAATCGAATAAGCCGTTTGCAGGCCGAGCTGCCGTTGGGCACTCTTGCACGGGACTTGGATTGCACCAAGGCAGTGTCGGGCCTCAACGGCACGTCGAAGCTCAGAGAACGCGAGGCGCGTATGTGTCGCGAAGGGACCAAGCATTTCAACTTCCTGTGGCTGATGTGGCTTGCAGCTTGCAACTTCCAGGCTGAAGGACTGCTAGGCCCCCACAAAAGCCACATCGCTCCTGGTTGCTGTGCGGGACTGGGACCTGGCAGTACGCTCAGGGGCTAAAAAAATACCTCGAATGTGAAGGTGCCTGAACGCAGCTGTTGAGGTTGTTGACCCAAGAACACGCAGTGACGGTGGCACCTCGCAACTACTACACAAAGCAGGCTCATGTTGGATAGCTCAGGCTGCGGTGTCAAAGTCAGCACACAAGCTGTCGCAAAAATTGGCTTGGAAGCGCACAAAGGCAGGGGGACGAAATCCAGGAGCAAGGGTCATCGGAAGAAACCTCGGCAACAAAAGCTGACTCATTGCGTTTGTGGCTTGTGGATTTGAAGTGGTGCACTTGCAGGCTGAACTATCATCTTATCCTGATCTGCTACATGCACGTGCAAGATCGAGAAAAAAACATTACCGACAAATGCCGGCGTAATAGCGAACAGTCCGGAGGTAAAATCGACAAACGTCAGAGTAACATCAAAAAGTGCCCGTGGGCATATGACAAAAAGTTGCTCCGGAAACAAACGTGTATTGAAAAACGTCGCGCAGGTGGCAAACCAGAGGTCTGATCAAGGCGCGCATGTGATCAGCAGACGCGGCCCCTGATCAAAAACCAAGGGTTTCTGAACCTCCGCTCCCACTCCCTGACGCCTAAACATAACAGCACAGACATGCTGTTGTTCAGAAAAGTTGTGCTGAATGAGGCTTAAAAAAATATCCAACCAAAGGACCCAAACCCGAAAGTGAGGGTTCGTCGCTGTCAAGCGACCGGAACGGGTCAAGGACCTGCCAGCCCGAGCGCCAAAAAAATAGCAGATCACGTAGAGGCAATGGTAATTTCTCATGTCATTGACCTGTGCAAGCCAACGCACGTCCCTTGCTCACCACCCCTCAGGGAACCTTGAATAGGGGACCATATCCTGGCCTTACCCCCAAAACCTACCTCTGGAAGCCCTGAAGGATCCCAAACAAGCATCCAGGTTACGGATTCCTGATGAGCATCTTGAATCAGGTTTTTTATTAGTGAGCCTTGCTGATGGAGGCCCAAATAGGACTACTGCTCATAGGAAAGCCTGAATTCTAAGAATTCGCAGGAAGCAATTATCCCTAGTCAGAGTTCCTGATTTCGGATCTCGGACAAGAACTCTGCTCTATCCCACTATGTGTGTACGACCTTTACGCTCTATTTGGCGAAGCGTCTCTGCATATAGTATAGATTTTCAAGATTTTCAAGAGTTTCAAAAATTTTGCAA